CTTTTCTGCTGGAGGGTCCGTCAAATGCTTTTCTCCATGTCAGTTTGTCTGGAATGTTTCACAGTATGGCATTAAACCTTTCTATTTCATGGTGCACAAACCAGACCAACTTACAGGTCAGATCTGTGAAGAGGCGACTCCGCTCAGTCAGCATGCCTATTTTAAAAAAAAAAAAATTTTTTAGGGGTTTTTGAGCTATAAAACCACCTGTGATTAAATAAAAGTAAAGTAGAGCTGTTTAATGTTAGCCAGGCTTGCGCCACCTAGTGCCTCTGCTCAATTTCATTTCTCTCCACTGACTAAGTCAATCAGTAAAGAGCTGTGAAGCCATAACGTTAAACTCAAGCGCCTGTCTGTGTACAGCACAACAGTAAACAAAGCAGTCGAGATGGATGTAGATGAAGACAGACATTCTGTGTTGGCAACGATTCCCGAGATCAAGGATTTAAAGCCGGAACAAAGAGAATGTTTGGAGAATTTTATCAAGGGGAAAGACGTTATTGTCCTTCTTCCTATGAGATTTGGGAAAAGCTTAATATACCAGTTAGCCCCGTTAGTGGTGCATTACATACATCACGACCCAATAGCAGCGATTGGTTAAAAGAAAAAAAAGTACCCACCTACTGTCAAGCGAATGAATCCTAATGCTGCGAGGTCAGACGGTTTGTATGAAGTGAAACAGGCTGATGAATCAGGCAAGTTTAATGTCACATTGTGGAACATTTCAGGCAGAGCGATGACATCTCCATAAAAACAAAAAGGTGACAGATCCTCCACCAGAAAAGTTACACAATGCACCTTTAAATAACTCACAATAAATGATCAAACACCAGACTAGTTAGAGCCATAAACTGTATAAAGAAGTAACCTAAAGGAGTCACCCATAGCATTCAGCTCCAATCAAATGAAGCTCACCAAGGCTTGTGGTTATAAAAGCGAATTTGAAGTTGAGTTCCATATCAGGAATAGGAATATATTATACAGACAAAATAACATAATAAAAATCAGGATCTTTTAGAGCGGGTTAACTTCTGCTTGTCCATCTTCTGAGAAAAAGAAGCTCAATTCCATGGACATTTGAAAGATTAATTGAAATCTGTAACCACTTATTTTCAGTCAAATCATCCATTCTGAGAAGAGTCTGGACCAGTTTGTGCTCCAAATCCAGGATTAAAAAATTTAATAGGAATTTTATATGAATTCCGCCTGGGCTTGTTGCCTCATTGCAAGTCCCTCAAACTCATGTTTAGTGAGATCTGCTTCAGCTTTGACATGGGAATTGTCAAGACCCAACAAATGCTCAGTCTGCTCTCTCTCAGGCCATCCCCAGGGACACCAGCTATATCTTTTCTTATATTTAAAGCCAAAAAAGTTTATATGCAATTTGAAATCTGACTTCCCTCTGTGTAGAGCTTGTTCCCAATTCAAATTAGAAAACAGAGGCAGTTAGAGGACAAGAAAGCCCCAAACTACAAAGTCACAGCTTCACAAAGAGTCCAGTCATTTGTCTGTGCTCCAAAGGATTCAGAAATAGTCTCAGGCTACGCTTATTTGATGACGGTCTGAATAGAAGACTCAAAAGTGGCGTCGCGTCTTCACTTTTTATTCCACTTTTAGACAAGCGTTAATGGGAGGAAATCTGCGTGCATATGGGGATGCAAAAGTGTGTGGAATTTGATTGGGTATGCATGCCATCTGACATGTTTACTGCACTGTATGTATGTGACGTAAACGCGTACACGACGTGAGCAGATCAGAGTTTTGCGTCTTGGGCAGTGTAGATGGAAATGCTACGGCGGAGCATATCACTCTGGAGGGTGGTTTCAGATCTTTGAATTTTTAAGCCCCAAAAACACCATCACCATCTAAACAAAAGGCACTTCTGATAAAATATGTTGTCATTTTTACCCGCAAGCATTCTCAGTTAGAATTGAGAATCATCATAATCAGGCGTTTTAGGAAAAATTGGTCCAAACATAAAGAGGTTTTTAATACGAAAATTTTAAGACCAAAATGACGAGGCTCAGTGCAGCAGTTACACAAAGAGGGGTGACTATTTTTCAGTGTTAAGTCAATTGGAACCAGAGTCGATAGATCCGGAAGCCCCCCTGTGCTCACTTCCTAGCGGGTTAGTCATGTCCATTGATATACACAGTCTATGGTTTGGGCTCATGTTCTTTTGTGCAGATGCATGGGGCTTGTTTTGCAGAACAGGTTTCAGTCTCCTGAGGGTTTGATGGTGCAGCAGACGGAGCATGTATAAAATCAATCTGGAGCATCCGCCACCCCAACACCACCCACGGGCTCCAATAACAGAGGATGTAACAGGAGAATTAAACTGGTCACACTAAAACAAGAAAACATACATGATTTTGAATTAATAGGATTATGTATGATTTAAAGTATAATTTGGATAAAAGGGTCACTATTTAATTTGATAGTTCAACATATCTTAGCTTCACCCCTCTCATGGTTAGAGTGCAAGAAAAACAGTTAAAGGTCCTATATTAAGCAAAATGGACTCTTATGAGCTTTAAGTCATGTTAGAATGTTGTTTCTTCCTCAAAAACAGACCTGGAGTTGTGTTTTGTTTCATTCACACATGTCTGAGTAACCCTTTATTATTAATCAGTCAACATTTCCAAAGCTCAAAATGCTCTGGTCCACCTTGTGATGTCATGAAGCGGTAGTTTTCAAGTTAACAGCTCCTTTTACCTTTTGGTCAGTAGAGATTAGCAAAGGAGAAATTCAATTTGTCAACTGGACAAAAGTTTATTTGGTCGAATACGTTTCGCAGCTCATCCAAGCTGCTTCTTCAGTTGTGGTCAGAATGCTGGTGGGTACAGCAGTGGACCTCAGTGTGTCATACATCTCCACCTATAAGCCACAAGCCACTCCTTTGAGGACAGTGAGGTACAGATCTTAGCCAGAGAAAATAATTGGTTTGAATGGGGAGTTAAAGAAGCTATATTTGTTAAGAAAGAAAATCCTTCTCTAAACAAAAATGGGGGACTCAGGCACCATCTGTCTCCTGTTTACAGCTCCATCCTCAAACCTAAATCAAAACAAAGAAAAGAACAATAGGGGTAACCAGGTCAGATCCAGAGGTCTGAAAGCTCCATTATGATCCTGAATGGTTATGCTAATATGAACCCACACTCCTAACTAACTAACTAACTAACTAACTAACTGAAACTGTTAACAAGTAGGTTTGTTAGTTTCAGAGTAGTTTCACTATAGTTAGCTCCTCCCTGCAGGCAAATATAAGGAAGTATCCATCAGCATCCAGTATCCTTCAGTTTAGCAACCAGAACTGAAGAAGCAGCTTGGATGAGCTGAGAAACTTATTCAACCAAATAACCCTTTGTCCAGTTCACAATTTGAATTTCTCCTTTGCCATGGATTCCACCTGGACAAATGAAGGATTTTTCACACGTCAGTAGACATTGGTAATTCTAGGGCTGAAATTATCCAAATTATACTAGTGACGTTGTATGGAGTTTAAAAAGCGCCACTTCTTGTATTACTACATGACATCACAAGGTGTTTTCTGTTTTAGAGCAGAACTCATCTTAAATATGGAAGATCTGTGTGGTAAAGTGTGTTTTTGCTGAGGAAACAACATTATAACATAGATCAGAAAATAGCTCAATGGAGAAATTCAACCACTAGCTAAAAGTCTGGAATGTCACCGCTGAGGAAGATACTTAACACACACATTTCATTATTCCCATGCACCATTCTGTTTGTCGTATCAGATAAACCGATGCGTCACTGTAAAGAATATGTTTTGAATTCTCTGCGTAGAATATATGTATGAGAATATACTGCATTCTTATTTGCATTTTGAAAAGAGTCTCACAGATCCCTTTTACCACTGTTTTATTTATACTGGTAAACATCGAACAGAAACAACAGCGAAATCAAGAGCCAATGTCCCACTCCCACTCTGTGATTATCACTTCTCTTACGTCGACAAGTTCATTTACAATGGTTGTCATCGGCGACACAATAATGTTATACGTAAAAAATATGGAAAATAACATCGTTTTGAGTCTGTCGATTTGATCCACGGTCACCATTCTACTCCTGTCAAGAATTGGGAATTGTGCTGTTGAAATCGGAGCTGACAGGAATCCTATGGCGTTGAGTCTTTTATGTAATTACGTGATAAAAATGTATTGATCAAACCAGAGGGCAGTATCAGGCTGAGCCACAAAATGCTGCATTGTGCTGTGTGTAGATAGGGGGCGCTGTTTCTACATTCTGTTCGCCTCTGGGTCCGAACCAAAGGTGGGTTTTTAAGACGCCAGCGCAGAGAGGAGGAGGAGGGGGGAGTATATGGTCCTTCCTCCATAGAGTCTATATTATACAGACAGTCCACTTACTGCATTGGCTTCAAGTCCAGATATACAAGGCTCTCACACAACCAAACTTTTGTACATGAAGTTGTTTTATACATTGTTGTGCCTTTAGATCATTATAAAGAAGATTTATTTAGGTTATAATGTAAAAAAACAAAAGTGAGACATTCCTTTGCTCCTCAGCCACAGTCCAGGGGGGGTCAAAGGGTCATAGAGGGGTCACAGGGAGAGGGTTTCATGGGGTGTGTGATTTCCCAGTTCGAGTCATTTACCAGATTTGCGTCAGTCATGCTAGCCCGTTAGAAATGTTTAAAAACAGTTGTAACCTTAGTTCACAGTTTATTTAGATTTAATAGTTTGCAAAGACATTAAGGTTTATTTTTAGATAGTCTGTCAGCCTCCATGTTCCTCTGCTTTGATCTGTTAGCTCAGGTTTATTATCAGTTAAATGTGTGAATGTCTGGCACATATTTAAGCTCATAAAACATGTTTAAAGACTAAAAGAAATTGATGACACATGAGATTTTATTTCTTGCTAGAGTTTGTGTATGTTGCTGTAGTGAGGTGCCAATGAAAATTCTGACTCCAATTGGGGAATCACAGAGCACCAAGGGGGCAGATGGGTCAGAGGTTGGGGGGGTCAGAGGGGTCAGTGCAGGTCAGAGGCCAGAGGGCATCATAGCGTGCTCTCCAAGAGCCACTCGGACCTGGACAGAGGCCCTTTGCTGTGCTGAATGTCTGAGGAGATGTGGGGCAGCTCTCCGCTCATGGACAGACTGCGTTTGGAGCGCAGACTTCCTGCTCCTGCTTTGGCGTAGGCCACGTAGCAGCGGTCTGTGTACGAGTCTGCGTTCAGAGAGTGTCTGCGGTGCACTCTCACGCCCCCTGCAGGCACAGTCATGTACTGTCGCTGGTGCGGCCGTGGGCCCCTGGGAGCCCCAGTCCATTTGAGGGGCTGTCCCGCAGCAGTGGGGGCCAGCAGCGGCACCCTCTTCAGGTCAGAGGAGTTGTTGCGGTTCATATTCTCCAGCTCCAGAGGCTCAGAGGGTTTGGGGGCAGAGCGTTTGAGGCGTGGGGCGCCGGGTGAGGCCGGGTGCCAGCTGTGAGACGCTGCTGAAGAGGAGACGGTGCAGTCGGGCACAGACGGCTTCAGAGGGGTCACAGATGGCGGTTTGGACGGGGCAACAGAGGAGGTCTTAGGAGTGACTGCACAGGGCTTTGGGGCGACCACAGAGGCTGGCCTCTGCTTCACCGGGTCAGGGGGAGGCAGACAGTCTTTATCACTCTTCTCTGGGCGCAGACACTCTTTCTCACTCTTCTCCGGGCGAAGCGCCTGTTTGGACACAGACTTGGGGAGACCACAGCCCTGCAGCTGCCCATCACTGCTCAGGGAGCGGATGTCCCCCATCTCCAGAGCCTGAGGACACACAGGGGTTAGGACAGAAGAGGAGAAACATCTCACTTCTTCATTGTTTCACACTGACCTTGTCTACATCTCCATGGTTACACACCCGGTAACGCACGATGAGGAAGATGATGAAGGCGAGGACAGAGGCAACGATGATGCCCCCGATGATGACCACGATGGTGCCGCCCAGAAACTGCGACTGCATAAAGTGGCAGCGCAGGTACTGGGGCTCAGTGCTGAAGTGGACACAGCCGATCACACGGGTGGCGGTCAGAGAGGTCACCTGATCATCGTAAATGGCCAGAACACAAAGGTCGTACTGGGTCCCTGCAGCCAGGTTATTAACAAGGATGTTCTTACTGCTCGGAGGGATCATCCTGAGAACGAGAGGGAGGAGGAGAGAGGAGAGAGAGGGAGGGAAACGGAGAGAGGGAGAAAGAAGAGAACAAGTCTTTTATTCACTTTCATTGGCACAGTATATCAAAGAAATTCTGTAGCCTGAGCTCTTACAGTTTAAAAAAAGGGACTACAATCATAACTGAACATGGGTTGCCGCTGTCTTAACCTGCAGATAGAGGACACAAGTTTTTCCGTTTTTTAAATTACATTTCATTTGAACATGTTTACATTGTCTGGAGACATGTTTATGGAATTTAACATCAAAATCTTTCATACAGTTCATTTAATTAATGCAGATACAGGGATCTTATCTGTCTTTGTAGCTCATTAATACATTTCACGACACAGTAGATAAGATAAGACCATACATACTATAAAAGCCCACATACAATTTACATAAAGATCTAAGAAGCTGTGAACATATTATTCTTCTAGTTAATGCTGCATTGTGTAACTTTCTCCATGGAGATGTTATTACTTTGTCTGGAATGTTTCACAGTCACAAAGCCTGTTTTTCTGTGTATTTCTTAACCATAAAATCATCTGTAATTGACTAAATGTAAGGTAGAGCTGTTTAATATCATGACGGACAACCAACCAAAAAGTAACACAGTGCAGCTTTAAGAAATAAATCTGTTTTGAGTGAGAATAAAGATGGAATATTTCCTTCCAAAATGATTCACTGTACCCTCTTTCAATAATCGCTGACAGAGCCAATGGAGTCACTTCCAGCCAGAGCAGATTTATAAAGACTAACTCAAAGATGTCAGAGGGTTTTGGGGCTTAACTCAACTTTATGAAGCCAACTTAATCAAACTATCTAAAGCAACAGTATATTTTTCCCTAAGTAATGTAAAATGAAAGGTTATAGGATCCATATTAGAGTAGACATATTGATACATAAATAAAATGGTTGCCTCTAAAATTCTGACTTTTAATTTTCAGTTTATTTCAGTCTCTTTAACGGGCACATATTTCTCATCAAAAATATACCTGGAGTTGTGTTTTGTTTCACTCACACATCTTTAATTAACACATAAACCCTGCATATTTAGGCTGAGTTCTTCTCTCAAACACACAACAACAGTCTCAACACTCTGTTCCAACTTGTGATGTCATGTGGTGATACAGGAACTCCCCCACTGTGTTTTTAAACTCCACACACCTTGGGAAGAATAGAATAATTTGGATAATTTCAGCCCTGGAATTGCAAATCTCTACTGAACTAATGGTTAAAGGAGCTGATAACTTGAAAACTACCACTTCATGACATCACAAGGTGGAAAAGAGTATCTTGAGCTTTGGAGATGTAGACAGACTAATAATAAACGAATGAAACAAAACAGATAATATATTTAGATCACCATCACCACGATGCCTTTTATTGTTTTGAAAGTGCTATATTCAAATAAAACAACATATTAACATGTTTCATAAGATTCGCTCTTTGATTTACCCTTTGCTCCCCGTGTTAAGTCACTCCCCCTTCAGAGCGCTATCACAAAACAATCAGCATGCCTCCCGCTAATGAAACTACTGCCTCTTTGTCTGTTACTTTGTTAAAGGTGCACTTTGTGGCCACGTTTATATGATGATGGTCTGAACAGAAGACGCAAAAGTGGCATCGCGTCTTCATTTTTTATTCCGCGTTCAGACAAGCATTTTTGGGAGGAAATCTGCGTGGATACGGTGACGCAAAAGTGTATGGAATTCGATTGGGTATGCATGCCGGGCAGCTAGATGGTGATACTAGGTGGTGATGTATGTGACGTAAATGCGTACGCGAGACATGAGCAGATCTGACCAGAGTTTTGCGTCTTGGGCAGTGCAGATGGAAATACTACAGCGGACCGTATTCAACTTTTCCACTCTGAAGGGTGGTATCAGATGTTTGTGTTTTTAAGCCCCAAAAACACCATCTCCATCTAAAGGAAAGGCCAATATTTTGTCTTTTTTATCCGCAAGTGTATGTAAACAGACCTGTAACTTGTCTTATGGCACCACCTAGTGCTCAGTTTCATTTCTTTCCAGCGACTAGGTCAGGAATACACTAGATGGTTTTCCAAAAACCCTGTAAGTGCAAGTTCGGGCACCAGCCAATCAGCGAAGAGTCATACATTCTGTGTTGTCAATGATTCCGGAGATCAAGGATTTAAAGCCGGAACAAAGAGAATGTTTGGTGAATTTCATGAAGGGGATTTGGGAAAATGGGACTAACTGGTATATTAAGCTTTTCCCGTGGGATTTGGGAAAAGCTTAATATACCAGTTAGTCCCATTAGCAATGCATTACATATGTCACGACCAAATAGCAGTGATTGGTTAAATGAAAAAAGTACCCACCTACTGTCGAGCAAACTAATTCTGATGCTGTGAGGTCAAACAGTTTCTACGAAGTGAAACCGGCTGATGAATCAGGCTAGAGATGTTCTACAGTATGACATTTAACCTATCTTGCATTCATCCAAACTTGTATTTTCACTGTGGGAGCTTTTGCACATACTGGACCTGTAACTCTGTCAAGCAACTCTGATAGGCAACACTATAATATCTCCATGGAAACAAGTAGGTGACAGACCTTCCACCAGAAAAGTTACACAGTGGGCTTTAAATATAGAATCTCAACCTCAATCCAGTTATGCTGTGTATTCATGATTATGTAAAACGCACCAATGACATCCCTGTATCCATAACATGCAGTGGATTAACGGAGCAGACGACAGCTAATCTGATTATGTACTTTATTGTTCGGTTTGAATGAAATGACATGAAATCGTTTCCTATCTCACACAGGGCGGTCTGAACCTCTGGGGCTTTCTCCTCTGTAATGTAGGGTTCAGTCTCTCTTGTCATAGTAATTATACAGATAAGGGTTGGGACATGGGACCTCTGGATTACAGACGCCTGCTGTGTTCGTTCATTGATTCATGTGTGACAATTTTATCTCATTTTTCACAGTGGAAGAAATCAAGACGGGAAAGACATGAGCAGTGCAAAAGCTGAGCAAAACTAAAATATCAAACTGAATTGTTAAAAGGTCTGATTACGCAAAATGGACTCTTGTGAGCTTTAAATCGTGTTATAATGTTGTTGCCTTCTCAAAAACAGACCTGGAGTTGTGCTTTGTTTCATTCACACGTTTGAGTAACTCTTTATTATTAGTCTGTCTGCATCTGCAATAGGGGTGTGCAAAAATATCAAAATATTAATATATCGTATTGTTTAATGCAGGCATGTCCAAACTATGGCCCGGGGGCCAAATGTGGCCCTCAGACAAGTTTTTCTTGGCCCTCAGACTTCCAGATGAATTGGCCCAAATGACATTGCATCAATTGAAAAATAATTTTTTACTGCAAGTTTTTTGAAAATCTACCTTGATAAAGCTAATATTTCACATTTAGAGTGTGGTTTTAAGGATCTTAGCATGAATAAAGACTGATGGCTCATTTTAACGTGTTAAACATGCACATATTTCAATTATTCCCTGTACTGAGCATCAGTCTACAGCCCTCAATCGGCCCTCTGCTTCGTCTGTGTTTAGATATGTTGCCCTCGGTGAAAAAAGTTTGGACACCCCTGGTTTAATGTGATGATACAGTATCGATATTGTGGGCTGCTGTATCGATATATCGCCATAGAGTATTTTTGGTTTATTTTACTACATTATTTTGTTACAGTGCTACAGTTTTGTTGTTTGTTTAGAGGAAGGAAACTTGTTTATGCAACACTTTTGACATTTTCATGGTTTTAATGATTAAAATGTTTGTGTTTCATATGAACTTTGCACAAGAATTGGATTAACAAAGACTTTTAGTATCACAGCCTTTATTTTTTATTGAACCGTATCGAAGCGATTTGAAATATATCGTATCAAACCGAAAGTGCACTGTATCGAGAGATGTATCGTATCGTGGCCTATGTATCGAGATATGTATCGTACCGTGGCCTATGTATCGAGATATGTATTGTATCGTGGTCTATGTATCGGGATATGTATCGTATCGTGGCCAGTGTATCGAGATATGTATCGAGATATGTATCGTATCGCCAACTTCTTAATGATACCCAACCTTAATCTCCAAAACTCAAAATGTTCTGTTCCACTTCGTGATGTCATGAAGTGGTAGTTTTCAAGTTAACAGCTACTTTTTACCATTAGTTCAGTAGAGATTTGCAATTCCAGGGATGAAATTATCCAAATTTTCTATTCCTCTAAAGGCGTGTGGAGTTTAAAAATGCAGTGGAGGACTTTGTGTATCACCACATGACATCACAAGATGGAACAGTGTTTTCTTCTTTGGACTGTTCTGGAGTAAGACATTAAATCTATCTAGTACCATAGGGAAAGGGGTGTCATGCCACTAAATGATTACCTGTCAGTTCTTTAGGCATTAAAATCATCTGTAATTGAATAGTGTGGAACATTTCAGACAAAGCAACAACATCTCAATGGAGACAAGAAGGTGGCAGCAGCAAGTAAAGTTACATAGTGAACTAACCTGGAGTGTTTTGTTTCATTCACACCTTTATTATTAGCCTACAAAGCTCAAAATGCTCTGTTCCAACTTGTGATGTCATGACGCTGTAGTTTTCACGTTTCCAGCTAGATTTTACCTCTTGTTTAGTAGAGATTAGCATTTCCAGGGCTGATATTATCCAAATTATTTTAGTGAGGTGTATGTAAAACACACTGGAGCACTTCCTGTATAACCACATGACATCACAGGGTGGAACAGTGTTTTCAGTTTAAGAGAAGAACTCAGCCTAAATGTGCAGAGTTTGTGAGTTAAACAAGTGTGAATGAAACAAAACACAACTCCACGTTTGTTTATGATGAGGAAACATTATAACATAGATCTGAAGTAGCGTAATATGAGCTATTTAAGAGGATAAATTAGCAAGTATAATTATTGTTGTTACTGTCAGCCAATCACTTTTTAAATAAACACAATTAAAAAGAATCTCACAATTAAAACGTA